CTTTTGATGTAATAGACTCCAAAGTTAAGCATGCTCAGGTAGGAGCACATCTAGGATGGGTGCCCTTCTGGGAAGATGCAGTGTACCTAAAGGACAAAATCATGAGGCTCGGCATAAGACGGGCTAAAGCAAATAATACCTCCTTGAGTTAATCCAGGGGTGTCACATTTAGTGACCATGATTTGACTTTCTTAATCTTCCCATCACAAGCACTGATTCATGCTATCTGTGTACTTTCCCAAATGCCATTCCAGCAAAACATGGCAAAATGCCCACAATTGTTATTGAAAAGGTTGTATTTGTCGAAACTGCCACCCTTGTGAAGCTCGCAAGCCTTGTTCATGACTTCCGGGGACAATTTTCGTATCAAGTAAGGTCATGCAAGTACCCCGTCTCATCAGCGTAATGCCCAGTGATGATCGCCCATATGCATATGAGTAGAGGGAATGGAGTTTCTCGCCTTCTCGCCGGAAGCAATCAATACACATAGTATAATCACGAAGCTTGATTAGGCTTACAATAATTATGAAACAAGGAGGGCGAAACCATGTGAATCGGACAATTTTCTATCATTTGATATCTATAGCATGAATTGTCAAGAAAAAGCATCATGGCTTGGCTTCTCATCACATTTTTTCATTTCGAGGTGTGTTTAGGAGAGCTTTGTTTTTTTCATCAAGAGCAAAGAGTGTTTAGTAATCACCAATCTGCTCTTCTTCTTCTTTCTAACGCCACGAAAGCTCTCTCTTTCCTCAAAAACTGAGGAAAGAGAGAGTACCTTATCATCATTATTTCCTTTCTGGTCCCTTCAGGTACTATGACTTGTCTCTGATGGAAATCCTACGTGCAATCAAAATAGATTTATGAACAGCCATTGGAATGAAAATAAGAAGATAATAGCAAAACGAAAGTTAGGAAATGATAATTCAGTCGAGCTATTTTCAGATAAACATGTAACGAAGAAACAATAATGATAACGGAAAAGGAAAAAGAGAATACATCACTTGCCATGGTGGGTGTACCAGCCACTGCCGATATGTATAAATTATTGATATGCATGTGTGAGTTATGTTAGAAAAATCCCACATCGGAGAATTGGTATGGTGTGGAGCAGTTAATACATCCAACTTGGCCCATAACTCATTGGTTCAAGCTTTTAAGTGAAGGTGGGTCCAACTGGATATGTTGATAGGCTCGGATGTAGACTCCTTCTTGGCGATCTCCCCAGGTGAAAGGTATTGGGTTTCTGCTAGAGCACTCCCAACAAATTGGTATCAGAGCATTGGTTCTTGCTTGACTTTTTGCCTTGTGTTAAACGATGGAAACGAGTACGAGTAGAATAGTTACATTGAATGGTTTGAATTATCATATTTGTAAAGGGAAAATGGAAGACCTGTTGTATGTAAAGGATTATTATTTGCCTGTGTTTACTAAAGAGAAATCGGAGAATAAAACTTATGCTGAATGGTCTATATTCATCGTCAAGTGTATGGTTATTTTAGGCAGTAAGTGGGTGATAATGTTTTGAACCATATCATTAATGAAACACATGCACGCAGTTTCTACAATAAGCTTGAATAATTGTTTGCTCGAAAGACTGAAACTAACAAGTTATTTGTGATAAAACATACGATGGTTTTGAAATATCAAGATGGTACTTGTTGGACTTATCATTTAAATTCTTTTCAAAGAATTATAAATCAGTTGGCCAGGATGGGAATCAAATTCAATGATGAGATACAAGCATTATGGTTGCTTGGTACTTTGCCAGACTCGTGGTAGTCGTTTCGAACGTCTTTGTCTAATTCAACCTTTGATGGTATGATTACCATGGATTTGGCCAAGAGTAGTGTTCTGAATGAAGAGATGAAAAAGAAAACACAGGGATCCTCTTCACATTATGATGCCTTGGTTGTTGAGAAAAGGGGAAGAAGTGAGACTCGAGGTCCGAGAAATAGAGATGAGAGCCGAGATAAATGTAAAGTCAAATCCAATAAATTTGCAAATGTCGAGTACCATTATTGCCATCAAAAGGGACATATCTAGAGGTATTGCCATAAGTTGAAAAGAGAGAAACAGAAAGAGAAAAGTAAAGAGAAGAAAAGTGATAATGACAACGATGACAATCGTGTTGCTGCACTTGCAGAAAACTTTCTCATTGTCTTTGATGATGCATTTATTCATGTTACATCTCATAAGGATTTCTTTACATTTTATAGGTTAGGTGACTTTGAATTTGTGAAGATGGGAAACAATGGGCAGGCTGAAGTTGTAGGCATTGGTGATATGTGCCTAAAGACCAACAATGGCACGAGGTTAGTATTGAATAATGTTAAGCATATACCAGATATTCGTTTGAAATTGATTTCCATAGGTAAGCTGGATGATGAGGGGTATTGTAACACCTTGAGTGATAGTCGATGGAAGCTCACTAAAGGTTTTATGGTTGTGGCTAGAGGTAAGAAATGTTATTCATTGTACATTATGAAGGCAAAGTTGTCCACGGACAAAATTAATACAATAGACGGTGAAGAGACAGTTGAATTATGGCACAAGAGGCTCAGTCACATTAGTGAGAAGGATTTGTCAATATTGGCTAAGAAGAAGCTTCTTTTAGGAATGAAAAGTTCAGAACTGAAGAAGTGTACTCACTGTTTAGCAGAAAAACATAATAAAGTTACATTCAAAACCTCGCCTTCTTCGAAAAAGTCAGGTATACTTGATTTAGTGCATTATGATGATTGCAGCCCTATGAAGACAAATCATTTGGTGTATCTCTTTATTTTGTTCCTTTCATAGATGATTTTTCAAGAAAACTTTGGGCTCTTTTTTGGCAATTTCCTTAGGCAAAGGTATCAGGTTTTTGCTACGCATTATCAACAAATGGTATCGGAATCGATGGTAAATTGGTGGGTCTCCCAATCTATTCCAGTGTTTGGTGAATATTTCAAGGAATGATTCAGGTGTTCCGGGCAAGTGGGTGTTGTGGTGTAGCAACGCGGTCCCGATGGCGACCTTCATCGTTCGGTCAGAAGAGATAGACCAGGGATGAAGATGAGTGTTGGAGATTCAAGTTGAGATATCTTGATAAAGAATGATACTTGTATTAATGGTGAGTGGACTTAACATTGAGCTCATACGTGAGAGGAGATTATTATGATGCATATGTGAGTTGTGTTAGAGAAATTCCACATTGAAGAATTGGTATAGTGTTGAGCAGTTAATATATCCTAGTTGATCCATAACTTTTAGTTTAAGTTTTTGAGTGAACGTGGGTTCAACTAGATATGTTGACAAGCTCGGATGTTGATTCTTTCTTTGTGATCTCTTTGGGAGAAAGATATCAGACTTCTACTATGCGCTTCCTAGAACACTTTAGTGAAAAACACACCGCAACAATGGTAGCAGAGTGAAGATGAAATAAACAATATACAAAATTAAACCCAAGAGGCCAAAACCCCTTTAGTGTGCCCGAGAGGGAGATATCTGTGTACTTTTTTGACAAGGACAAGCTAACAACTTATTTCTCGAAAATCTAACGGGAATGAAAAGAGCATCAGTATATGGGTACCGGATGAAACGAGAGAGCGAGAGAGAGAGAGAGAGAGAGAGAGAGAGAGAGAGAGAGAGAGAGAGAGAGAGAGAGAGAGAGAGAGGGAGGGAGAGAGCCATGATTGAATGATGGAATACAAAGGGGTTTGTGTGTTGCCGGTTTTGGATATGTCTCATGATGATGATCATCATAAAAAAAAGGGAAAAGAAAGGGAAAAAGAAAATCCCAAAAATTATTAATAAATGAAGCAAAGAGCTAAATGAATAAAGGAAAATCTCAAATCTAGTACCAGAATTTTATGTCAAATTGGTCATTTTCTCAATGCGTTTGAAATGAGTACATTTCTTTTTAAAGCATATTCAGGATCTTTGTGATATCATGCACGCAACCCTTCTTAGTTTTTACTGCTCTGGGGAAAAGTAATTTTCATGCCAAAAATGAAAGCCACTCGTCTGTTCTGCAAATCAAATATTCTGTCCGCTGATGCTCGGATAAAAGAAGAAGCGCGTGGGGCCCTGCCAATCAGAAACCTGACGCAGTCCGAGTACAAGAGTGTCCGAACACTGTTGACTCTGAACTCCATGGCCGGCTCTTGTTAGAATGTTCGTTCGCTGAAAGGATCCATTTCCTACCTACGTCTGCCTGTATAGTTGAATTGTAGGTGAAGTGCACGCGTATTCTAACCAGGATAGTCTCGAACCCGTTTCCGTACATGTTTTTGTCCTGCTGGCATTCGTATTCTCTCGCTTAAAGAAACGATCAGGCTAACGCTAAACGTTACGGCCAAAAATATAACTCGATACGTGCATCAATTTAATGTCATCGGCTATGTGTCTCCACATTATCTATAATATCGGTTGACACTAGGCTGTTCTCTCACAGCAGAAAAAATAGTGCTAGTGCAACATTCACTCGTGGAATTATATGGCAAGTTCTTTTTAGGCACTTGTTAACCCGCAAGTCATTTTTCGAAACCCTACTTTAAAATCCTCACCCCCTTGTCATCGATAGATCAATTTTATGTGGACCTTCCTAAGCATTTCCTGTTTTTTTTTTTTTCGCAAACATCTCAATTAATGAAGTGATATGAGAATGTGCCACCAGCTTCAGCTGCTGTCTTCTCACCGCTTATTTACGATGACCGTTGGCCTATGCTCATAAGGAACACCAAACTCCAACAGACAATTGATCATACTTCCAGACATTGAACAAAATGACCATTGCTAGACACTTGCCATAGATTTATAAAATATATCTCCACATAAACATGTACATACACGAATAAGCTAAGTAGGACCCATTTTTCATTTCACAATTTTATATTGTGCACGAGTGCGTGCCCCTCGCATCCCATTCCAGTCCCAATTGAATATGCCCTGAAATAGATATTAAAACAACAGACATACAGAGACAATAAAAGATTGGAGGAAGGTTGGATCACTTGAACTCAGTTTCTCTTCAGCAACTTCATGGTCCATTCTTTGGCTTCCTTAATTTTCCGTTCACAATAACTAACAAATGCTGTCTGCTCACTTGCACGAATGCCGGTCCGGCAAAATGTGGCGAAATGCTCGCAGTTGTTGTTGATGAGGCTGTAGTTGCCGAAGCCATTGTTACCGTGAAGCTGGCGAGCTGTATCGACAACTTGATGGGGCAATTTGGTATAGAGTAACATGGTGCACGTTCCTCGCCTGGTGAGCATAAACCCTAGGAGTGGCCGCCCGTATTCATAACAGCGAAGGGATCGGAGTTTTTTGCCATCCCGCCGGAAGCAATCGAGACATGTTTTGACGACCCCACGCTTGATGTTCTTCTCCTGGTATTCACATTCTGGGCAGGGAGGCAAAATTTCTTGCTTGTGGCCAGTCTTGGACAGTGATGGGAATATGGTTGTTTTGCTCTCCGTTTGGGTGTAGTGAATCACATAACCATCCCCGATGTAAATTCCTATCATACATCAGTTAGGGACGATTTTGGCACCAACATAGGAACATGCTAAAATAAACACAAACTTCTGCAATTGACTCGATGTGCAGATCGATTTTGACCGAAAAGGATCAGAAATCTAAATAAATTTCTAATCTTCTGTTTGGCGCGTTACATGGAACTCCAATCTGTTTTAATTCCAGCACAGCTCTAGAATTCTCACTCCAGCTCTCGACTCAAGGGAAGACACAGAAACTCCACGCACTGAAACCGAGGACAGAATCTAAAAAGAAAAAAACAATCATTTTCCCCAGTTTAGAGCAAGTTTGACACTGCTGGCGGCCTCGTTACTTTAACCTCTTTGACTGGCTTGGATCTCTCGCAGTTAAACTTGCTATGTCAAAGTCGAAAGACACTCCTTTTTGATATATAACCCACATAAATCACGGTCCGAAAGAAGACATGCTGCAATCGACAAAAATTAAGTGAGCATTATTTGTATGTTTGCTTTTGGCCTGCCATCCTTACTATAAATAATTAATTATAGTCTGACATACAAAATTAGTTACGTTCTTTCTCCGTTCAATTTTTTTTTTGCTTTTAACTCTTTTTCTCTACCATTTCCCTGTTTTATTAAATAGAGCTCCTTCAGTTACATCTTTTCGCAGCCATTTTCCTAGTCTCTTTTTCTGAGAACAATCTAAATTTGTCAAAATAGATCATAGACCCATTTCTTAACCCATATATAATAGGTTGAGTTATTATATGAGTTAGTTATATTCAGTAAATGGGTCATAAATAGTTATATTCAGTAAATAGGTCATAAATGGGTTTAGAATGGTAAAGCTCAATATAATATGAGTATTAAATGAGTTTACAACTTACTTGGACCCGGCTCACCTCTATGACTTTCTCTTTGTTCTTTCTTGCCCTCACCTGATCTCGTGCTCGCTTGCTCCATACTCTCAACTTAGTTTGTGTACGAGTTTTCCTAAATTGGGTTTAATATGAAGGTGCTTTAGCAATATAAGTCGGATCGGATATGGCCACTAGATTTGTATTACAAAGAATTGGGTCAAAATGGATTAAATGGGTCTATTTAGGTCAGACCATTTTCAACCCGATCCAACGTTTGACGGGTCTAGTACAATCAAACACTCTCATTTGGTGTGAATGGAAAACCACTTAATTTCACGAGAGAGTGCTTCCGATCAGGCTATTTCAAACAACTCGATGTTTATGAATGTTTCATGGCTGTAAATATAAAGAAAGAATAGAATTTTCACTGGCGAGATGGAATGTTTGACTGAACTCAGATATGAATAGCCTCGAGATAAAAGAAAAAGAAATGAGAGGAGAGTGAAACAGTGGGAATGGATTATACTCAACACTGATAGAGCCTCGAAAGTTGACCCCAGGCTCGTCCGGGATTCTTTGAGAGTAGGGATGGATTTTATCATTCATATGGGGCCGAGGGGGAGTGAGTGTTTAAGTTTGGCTTGGGAGAGACAGTATGAGAAAGTAAACTCACTAGCCATTGGCATCGCCTTTGCACCGCCACCATCTCCATCACCTTCGATCGGTGCACTGACTTCACTCTGTTTTGTTAGGTGAGACCTTTCAACCGCTTACCTTGCTCACGACAGCGAGCTCATACTAAGTCGAGCTCAACACTGCAAGCACTTGGACACTCGACGGATCTCTCGTTGAGCATCCACAGAGAGAGAGAGAGAGGGAGAGAGAGACCAATGATGAACTCTAGATCTGACATAATAACGACGGCGTTGACCACATGGTGGCAGCGCCTGTCTAGAGGCAGAAAAAGAAGGAAAAAAAGGACTAGTGCAAAATCAGGAAGATGATGAGGACTCACCATGATGGCTGTATAAGCCGTATAACCCATATCTATAAATGTGATCTCCAGGTTTCAGATCTTCAGGTCTGACCACTTTCCACATCAACTGCATCAATAGCGTCAGTACCTTGTTGATGATCTCCATCACCATCTTATCTTGTGGCCCTTTTCCACTCTCTTGAACTCGTGGTTGAGCTGATTTACCTGTAAAAAACCACCAAGGTAGAGAACTCAGATAATTAGTGCTGTGAAGAGAAAAAAACTCAGGATGAGGAAGCTAAAATGATTACCTCTTCTGCCAAAAGGTCGATTGCTGGGATGATTAAAATGGAGGAGAAAGATGGCGGCCGGGTCGGAAGAGAGAGGAAAGGAAAAGGAAGAAGTGAGTGAAAATGAACTGAGGGAGAGTGGGCAATGGCGATGGCGATGATAGTATGAGGGGTCTTCGAGCGTGTGGGTGTGTGCGAGACAGAATCTGGCGGCTCTTTGGTCTATCTGGGGATCCTCAATCATGCAGAGAGAGACACTCAGACACGACGGAGAAAATATTGGATACCCCAAGTGGTGCCATGTCAGCAAAATCATAGTCCATTTAGTGATGGACACGTGTCGCCGGGCCCACCTGTGTCAGCCAAATTTTCAGCCCACCTCTTTTCTCTCTATCTCTCTCTTTCCCCTTCTCTCTCTCCTCCGCTTCACCCGTTTTCCCTTGTCTGACATCGAGCCCTAGCCACTGCCATTGTCGGCCACGGCGAAGAGGACCTCGGAGTCTCCGGCGACGGGCTCACCGCCGATGGATACTTGTCCATTGGTGTGCCTCACGGTCGGGAACCTCGGGCTGAAAATCCCCATCGCCGCCAAGCCCACCCACCCGCTCCACCTCCACCCATCGTCCTCCCCCTGCTTTTGCAAAATCAAGCTCAAGAGCTTCCCCTTCCAAACCGCCATGGTCGCTTGACCACGAGCTCGCGACCATGGTTACTCGAGGTAGAGCTCCGTGGCCATGGCGGCCGCGAGCCTCGGGCTGGCGCTCTGGTGCCGGGGATGGAGAAGACGTCGGTGACGCCGATTTGGACGAGCTGTTAAGAGGCACACCATCGTCGTCGGCTTTTGGTTTCCATGGAGAAGATGAGGAATTGCAGAGGAAGCGGCAAAGAGAAAGTGAAGAGGGAGTCTCGTGAGGGACAGGAGGGGAGAGAGAAAGTGGGCCCCACACAGGAGAAAATATTCCTGACAGTAGACCCGGGCGACACATGTCCATCACTGAATGGACTATTATTCATCACTTGGGGTACCCAATATTTTCTCCGACAGGAGCTTTTAGGAAGAGAGAGATATTCATACCCGAGCTTTTTGGAAGAGAGAGATATTCAGACATTAAGGGTGTGCATGAATACCATTCTGTGCCCGGGAGCTATTTCTGAATAGAAATGATTTTTTTTTATTCTGTACCCGGAAATAATTTTTGAGTATTTGAAGGCGTTTGATAAACTGTCCAAAATTTCTATTCCTAGAGTAGAAAAGAACAGAAATGCGTTTGGTAATTTTTGAGTATTTGAAGGCGTTTGGTAATTTTTGAGTATTTGAGGACCGTGACGCCCTCGCCGGCCCTGGGCTGTGGCCGGTCGCCGGCCGCTGGCGACCGGCGGCCGGCTCAGCCAGGGAAGAACAACACAAAAATAAGAAAAGAAAAAAAAGAAAAAGAAGAAAAAAACGATTCTCAAAATGCTGTAGAAACAAGAAGCAACTTTTTTACTTCTTGTTTCTCTTCCAAAACTGTTTCTCGGCACAAATTTTTGCAAAAATGTGCCGAGGAACAAAAAGTTTACCAAACGCATTTCTGTTCCCAAACTATTTCTGGGAACAAAAGAACAGAAATTTTCACTATTTGGCACGTTACCAAACGGGCCCTAAAAGTGCTTTAGGGGAACACAATTTTCAAAATTCTGAACAGAAGAATAACAAGCATCTCCTCCTCTTTCCTTCCCTCTCCTACCACGACCTAGTGTTGAGTGAATTTTGTTATCCATTGAATAGAGAATACCACCCCATCAATAAAAAAAAAATGAACTGATTAATTGGTACAAATTTTTGTACCAAGGTCCATCCAGCGGATACATATACTTAGAGTGTATTTGATTTGAGATTAGTTGTGTAAGAATTTTAGAAAAGCGAAACTGTGGTACATTGGAAAGTTTATCTCCAGTGTACATCTTGATCCTCAATTTAAATCCATATTATTGTAAAACCTTACGTGTTGGCACCACACGTTTTTACACTGTTTAGTGTATTTGTGGTTTCCGTCCAAAAAAAAATATGTATTTGTGGTTTGGTTTGAAAAGTCTACATTCACGGTAATTAATAGCATGATCTCCCGTGTGCATATAGGTAAAAGCTTAAATAAAAGCCAAACATATTCACCTTTTCATCAGTCGACACGAGGCACAAAAAAGGGCCATTCACTTTATAGTTTGTCGTCTATTACCTTCCTCTACAAGTGTATTTGAATTGTCGATTTGATCGGAGAGCGATTTCACTGACAATTTTCTTAGACAGGGAAGACCCTTCAAAGCTTAACGCAGTAACGCCACACGGGTCCCGCGAGCACATGGCGGGAAGTGAGGCTTGAAGAGCGAGGCAACATAAAGCAAGTATAGAGTAATGAATCGCGGACCTGTCTCGCAAACGCACAAACCCTCAACACAAGAAGACAATGCCGGCATGAGATCCGGCGCGACTGTCACTTCAACACCCATTTAAGAGGCCGCGTAGGTAAAAGAGAGTTTGAGTTGGGGATAAATCATTGAGGCATTAGGACAAAAAGAAAAAAAGAGATACCGGGTGTGTCTCGACTATCTGAATACAGTTTTTTGGGATAACATAGGTTAGACTAACCTTCAGCGTAATTAATTTCCATGAATACATTTAAAAAAAAAACGGTGTACTTTGCAAGTTGGAGAAATGTGGATCGAAGAATAACAAGCACCTCCTTCTCTTCCCTTTTCCACCCCACCTACGACATTGTGTTGAGTGAATCTTGTGATCCATTTGAATAGTGAATACCACCCCATCGATCGAAAAAAACACAAGGAACTAATTAGTTGGTACCAATTTTTAGTGCCAAGGTCCATCTAGAGGATAGATATATTTAGAGAGTATTTGATTTGAAATAATCTTGTTAGAGTTATAGGAAAGTGAAACGTAATACATTATAAAGTTCATGTGCAATGTATGTGTTTATCCTTCATTTGGAAGCATATAACTAAAGAGGTCAATGTGGTAATTATATATGTTAATACGACACCTATTTTCTAATTGCCCAATTAAACTACACAAAATTTAGGAGTTAATTCCTTTAATTCCTAAAACAAAAATTTTAATTGCATTTCATCTAGGCATTAAGCATAATAATATTAATTGCATTAATTAATTAAAATATTAAAAGAAAAGAATAAAAATTGCAAAAAAATTTGGATCGGTCCGAGTCCGAACTGGGCCCGACCCTACCCTCTCTTCCTTTCCCCCACACGAACCTAGCCCCTTTTCTTTTCTTTCTCTTCTTTTCCCTGCACGGGACTGGGCCTAGCCCAGCCCAGCCTCTTCTTTCCGCCCGCTCGGCCCGGCCTTTCTCCTCCTTCCTCTTCCCTTCCCTATTGTCACCGTGGAGTAGGATGGACGGTGGAATGGCCTCACCGTTCTGCCCAAGCAAGAACAAACGGAGGGGAACATAGTAGAGGCATTAAATGCCATGTTCCCTCTCTCTTCCTCCTCTCTCCCCCCGCTGTCTCAGTGGCAGCTAGTGAATGGTGGAGTGGTAGAACGCTGTTCCACCGAGTAAAAAACGAATTGAGGGGGGGTGATCAGGAGAGAGAGCAGAGTGTACGGCCAGGAAGTGGCCGGCAGCCACTACATAAAGCCAGAGAGGAGAGAGGGCCGAGGTCGGCATTTTTTCAAGAAAAATAGAGAGAGAGAGAGAGAGAGAGAGAGAGACCGAAAGAAATTGAGAGAAAAGAGAGAGCAATAGAGTGTTTTCTGTGTGTGCAGGTCACGAAGAGAGTCCAAGGCATGCTCTGCCGTCGATCGTGAGCATCGGCGACCCTCCAGACACAGCCGCAGCCAGTGAGTTTTTCTCGGCCCCTGTTTGTCCCTATATAGTAAGTTGGCCGGGACTCACGCCGGCCGTTTCGCATGAATCCCGGACCATATCGGTCCTCCCCGTTGTCCATACGCCACTGTCGGAGATGAGTCTTGGTCATCGGAGGAGGCAGGAGCCCCTGAACAGGTCTGACGTCCCTATTTTTGTCCATGCATGCCAATTGTTTGTTAAAATGCCTCAATGTAGCCGGTTTGGTTTTGGTTGTCGGCCGGTGGAAAGATCGTCGGACGATGAGTTTTTGGTCTGGGTTGACCTTGCAGTGGTCATTGGAGGCTAGAGAAGGCCAAAAGTTGACCTAGGTCGGCCAGCCAAGCTCCAATCAACGTTTGGGCTCAACGAGCCCCGTTTAGGGCTTGACTGGCGACCTTCCTGGCTAGTAGTTCGATAGCTAGCCAGAAGACAATCTCCTCAGTTTGAAGTACTAACGAGATTGCAGCCAAAGGCTGGACGAAATAGCCAGCAAATCGCTGGAATTTTGTCTAGCTAGTGGTCCCCTATGTTTGAGGCGCGCAATCGACCCGGTCGAACCAATCTGCAAGCCCTATTCGATTAGTTCAGCCCCGTTGGGCCGGTTCGAAGCTTGGGTCGTTGACCGAGGCCAACCCCAAACCTGTCGAATTTGGAGATCCGACCTAGGTCAGTCCATTTGGGTTGGATTTGCAAACCCGGGTTAGTTATAACCTGACCCGGATCCGACGATCCGACCCGAGTTTGTTTATATTATTATATTATTATTTTAATATTAAAATATAAATAAATAAATAAATTTTGAAAATTTAAAAATAAAAATTGGGCTTTGGACTTGCCTTTTCTTGCATGAATTGTGTGATTAATGTCATGCTTGATTATGCGTTTGTTTGCTTTGCAAGTTTGAACTGCGTGTTTAATCTGACCCTACTAGTGGGCAATCAAAGGCATGATAGGCCATTACTCGAGCATTTTCAATATGTTGATTTGTTGTTTCCTTAGCCTGGTTAAGACTAGAACTCTAGGGTCTATAATCGATAAAAAGGCTGCATATTTATCTTGACTGCTGATTGTT